CTGTATGGTACCAATTATCCCTTTATATTTATGGTATGTTGGAATTTACCCCCTTACTATCAAGGACCAATTTTCATCCCGGAAACTCATTGTTGATGGCAAAGTTATCCGTTTGTGGAGTTTTTACAATAATGATAATTGGTTTTTGATCAATATGGTTTTTGAACAATGTTCAATGACATTTCTTTCTTGCTACTAAGACATAACAAAAATATAGAAGAATTAGAAGTCTTGGAAAAGGTATTTTGGTATAATCTGTTTTAAAGGGCTGATTTTGACAACGTTTCCCCTTTGTTCTTGGCAAGCAGATTCACTTTTACTGTGGCTAATATCTTCCTCGTAAAACATGCGGTAGCTTTTAAGTGCTGCTAGAGTGATTTACAATTAAACTATTTTTGTATGCCTATACTTCGGCTGCATTAGATTTTGAACATCATTTGCCCTCTGCATGCTTTAGTTGATTATGCATCAAGTTTTATTTGAGTTTCAGGGCTTGCTCAAGTGTTGTTTTTTATTGTTCTTTGGAGTTTGGGCAGGGCTATCCTTGGGCTTGTATTTTAATTCAGATATTGGGATGAAGAAGAAAAGGGGTCATGGCCTGGTGGTGAGGGCTGGGAAGGCTGCCCTTTGTCAAACTAAGAGGAATAGGTCTCGGAAGTCTTTGGTTCGTACTCATGGATTCCGCAAAAGAATGAGAACAACTAGTGGAAGAGCCATCTTGAAGCGTCGACGTGCCAAGGGTCGATGGGTCCTTTGCCCAAAGTCCTATCCAAATAGAGGGAAACGTGCCTAACTATTTCTTTTATTCAGGTACAATTGGTAAATGTAATATTAATTGATATTCAGTAAATGATTTAGGCGAACTTGATCACATTCTCTTTTTTTCTGCTTCCTCTGTGCAATTGTTTTAATTGAAATTCACAATGATTATATTCAACCTTTTTCTGTCCTTGTGTTCATTATAGCTGTTCTCACTTCTCGCTCTTAGGCATCGACAACAATCTATAAAAGTAATAAGTTATGAACTAATCTTAACTCCTTCTTAAAGTTGGAAGGGTGATGGTGAAATTATCTCCTTGTCCTACCCTTTGTAGCAGAAGGCTCGCCTAGTTGTTTAACTTCCTTTTCTTTATCCTCTGACTTCTTTTTTATGAGCATATGATATCTATTTATGATCATGCATGGTGAACGATTTGTGTGAATTTAACAAGATTTCCATTTTTCTTTCCTGATTGTAAGATTGGTGTTATTTAGAGGTCCTTCTGTTGCAGATGTTGTGAACAGTTCTTGTTGTGAATGTAGCATTTAGCCTTTAAATG